AATGGCTATCTGCAAGAGGTTTATAGGAAAAGAACACTCGGTATTTATGTTGAATCAGTAAAATAGCATATCAATTGAAGAAAATTATATAAACATGAATAAAATCAACAACAGTAATTAAAACATGAATTTAATTCAAAAATCAAACACTTGTAACTTGAAGCTCGCTGTTGTTCGTAAAATTGGCCATAAATATGGAAAATACGATAAAATACTGTCAAAATCAATGCGGTAAAAACCATTTAAAATTCAGTCATATTGTGGTGTAAGAATGATAAAGCTCCTGCCCTGTCAGTAGTTAGTTAACCTGTTTGCTGCTTGGACACATGCTTTGCATCTTTGAAATATATCACAGATGATCATTTCACCGTAATATTCACCTGACGATGAGCCATGGAGAGGAAATTGTTTTTTTTGCAATAAAAGAGTGAAACCAATATCAGTAGTGAGAGAAAATGGTTGGTTGTCCATTGGTATCATACCACCCAGCAAGTAATGAATTTGCTTTTACTCTGTCGCCCAAATAGATATATTTTTTTGTATAGATCACACAAGTCACTATCTAACTCGTCAGTCTTCTGATCGGAAATTTTGTGAAAATGTGTCCAGATAGCGCAACTTTTTTTCGTTTGAGACATTTTTGTGGAGCATTAAACTGAATGCAACCAAAGCGGTTCATGCAAATGTGACTTGCATAGACGCGTTTGCGGCCCATTATCGATATGGCCGATATATCGGCGTGTGACGTATATATTCCCTCTATTTTGAACAATCCGGGGTACAAAATTCGATAGGCACACAACAAAATGAATGTTAAAATAAAAAAGACGCCCAAAAGTCCTATTGAAAATTGGGTCCTTATTCTTATCGGCCCAATGTCGAAAACCAAATCATAATTGCCCTTTACTCTGTTAGGGACGGTCTTGAGGCCTGAAATGTTTGCTTTCGTCTATATCATATATAAATCAGTTTTGGTCTATCCTTTTACCTTGTTTAATACTACTTCCTCTCTGTGGGTTAAATTTTCTGTGATAAATTTAACGTGAGGTTGGCAACTTGTATGGGTTCAAAACCGTCAATTTCAAAGTACCGCTAATGTAGCCGAAACGCTAGCATCTACGTGATTTTATTTGGATAAGTTTCATGTTACAATAGCACAACAAAGCTTGCAAATATTTGCAGTTTATACCCCTTCCTGCCCATACCTAAGCGTGGGAAGTGAAAACGAACCGTGAAGAAGTCTCGTGCGACCAAGGTCTGTTTGCGCTATTCATCTCCCGCTCTATATCAACGTAAAGGGCTGCCAACCCCTAAGTTCCGGCCATAATGATGCCACTTGAAATTAATACGAGCAGTTGTAATCTTAAATCATCGAAACCCGCTGTTTTTCCCTTGACGAGGGTATGCATTAATAACTGGCCGATATGATCTCACTTCCTACCGCGCCACACATACACACATCCAGACGGCTATGAAACAATAAACAAACGAGAAACGGGGCTACGTTTTGCCCAGCGAATAAGAGCAGGGCTCACTTTGCATTGTGTACGTTGATTGCCCGATAAGATGCTAGAAGAGATTGTAGTAAGTGCGATAATGCTTTAATTATTATTGCTGTCGCCTTGACATCTTTTGCTGGGTCTTATTCCTGCAACGTGCTGTGTATACCTGGGTACTGCATGGGAAGTATGCATATGTAGCTCAGTGCTTGCAGGAGTCTGTAAATGATCCATAATCTGCAGAATTACAACCTTCTCGATTGACATTTCTCTACTAAACTGAGAAATCGCTGTTAGTTTCCGTATTTCTAGGGAGAGACGTAACGTTTCTCTTCGTTTGTGTATAATCAGTGGCTGCATTCATGTCGTTTGGTTTGTGTGAAAATGAATTGTCGATAAGTACATAGTCCAACAAAAAAAACTATTTGATTGCTGGTTGCAAGTAATCAAATCTCGCGTATTTTGGGTCGAGAAAAACGAATATGTTCATGAAATTTTCTATTAGCCCTTGTTAGTTCACCGTAAAAATTGATTTAAAGATAAATTAGAAATTCTGTGCAATTTATAAAGCAAGATTAACAGCTTATCCGGAGGGAAACATTATTTTCAATGTTGTACTGTTTATTCCGATTGACGTTTCCTTTTGGATTTCCTTTTGTAATTCGAATCCAGAGCATCTTGTAAGGGTCCACCAGTAACCCTGATATCTGCGTTACATTTCAGATAGATTTAGGTGGAATCTTTCACCATGCTCATCACTTGCAGGTTCACACATACCCTTAAAGGCTTCCTAGCCTGCTTTTTCTTTTTATTCTGAATTTTTCAAACGTCGGGTCCTGTATTCTGTGATATTGGCTCCTGGTTGGAGTAGATGTCATTCTGCGTTCTCCTTCGACAAGCCAAGTGGAGACTCACCCAAACCTTCTGCCCCGAAATCTGGGTCACGGGGAGTATTAGGGCTGATGACTGCTTCTTCTGGTTCTCCTTCAGCATGACCCTTTTCAGTTTCATAATTTTGTAGTTATTTGGGAATTAGTAGAACAGCTGAATGAGGAATGAGCTGCACGGCTAATCGAACGCACGGATACTCAACCGGTGTCTTCTCTTTGTTGACCAACTTTGCTTCAAGGAGGGCCTTAAGCTGAAAGTATCGTCTACATGGTCTGTTGGCTCACGCCAGACCGTAGGTACAGTAAGCTTCATTGCGCGTTCCTTTCCCCTCTGTCACTGAATAAGCGTTATTACGACTAACATGCTCTGAAACACAAAACTTGGGATGATTAATCATCTGTTTGATCGAGAACATGCACTCGTTTCTTACATACTTAAATATCATTCATGTAAGAAACACTTGGAAATCCTTTTTTACATTCCGGAAGACCTACTTTACATGTTTACACAAAATATTGTCAAAATACACAAAACATATACAAAAACTGTCCATCCACAACAATCCCAACACTACAAAACCATACTGACTGACGATCGGGGTAGGGGGTTTTCGATATTACTACCTGCTTGCCCCCATTTTGTGATGTTATTGAAATTAAGGGTAATTATTTACTCCAGTGCAATTGAAAGGGGCTTATTTGGCATTTGTATTTATACGGATTTACAATTTTTGCCTTGTTCCCAGAGAGATTTTATTACCCAAGTATCACGGAAAGAAGACCTAATCTCTACTTTATGATTTTTGTGCTTGGGAACTAACCCCAAACATTTTTAGCTTCAAGCGGTGTTATTGCTGACGGTAAAAAAAAGATTATTATTGTTGGTTGTACTCATTTATCCCATTATTATAGCAGCTTGAATGTCCCATGCTACTTGATAAATTGTGGTATTTTAAAATGAGTGGGAAATGAACGATGCGGCCTTTAGTAAGAGATCCTAAGACTAATCATATTAAATTTGCGTTGCCCAGAGGGTAAAGCTTATACATGTACGTATACATATGCAAATATAAATTATACTAAATAGAATTAATTACCAGCAAGTTTTCCCCGATCCAATCGCCTGTATTGACCAAAAAAAGCATGGTACATTACGTGGGGTGAGATTTAGCACCTGCTATTCCACCATGTAACCCCGCAAAATTATCTTAAACAAACAAATTATATAAAAAAAGTGTGAAAATAAATGGATTGTCTCAGTACGATGTAATACAGGGTAATGTGGATTCACTTGTTGGAGGAAAAGAAGATAACAATGGATTTTAAAGAATCGGAAACATAACTGATCAAAAATACAAAGTGTCAAAATCAAGGAACATCTTAACCGTTTTTTTTTATATAATTCTGGATCCGGGCCTAAGCTATTGTATCAGATAACTGCATTGTAAGTAAAATATCTTTTGTTCTGCGATGTAATCGTAACGAACCTGAAGGTTATGCTAAGACGCACAGTGTTCAACTGAGGTATTGAGGCAATGATGTCAGCACGATCCTGTGATTAAAGTTTGAAATAGATTATTTCAAAAGATTTTGAACGTCTAGCCATGTAAGGTTGCGATATATATGTGATACATTATCAATCTTTCTTAGGTTTTTGATAAACCTGACACAGGTACTTTGCACCATCTACAAACGTTTTGCGTTTAATGACGTCGAACAAGCAGAAACATAAACCCTATAACATTCTAGACACAACTAGACTTTGACACAATCTAATTTTGATGTTTTCATACAAAATATGGTTGTTTGCAAAAAGAATCCTGAGGGATAGATAACAATTTTTCGTTATTCAGATAGGGGTTAGAACGCCGATAATGATGGAAGAATCTTCCAAACCGTGGATTGGGTACTGTTGTGCATCATATATGTTCAAGTTTTGATTGATTATGCGGAGCCTAATGACTAGGAAAACCTCTTATTTTTTCGAGATCTAGGTGCCGTGTAAAGGAATGTCTCAACTTTGTGCAGGCATTCTGTATTTTGAGACCAACATAGCTGATATATATCTGGGGGAGGGGGGGTATGTATGTACTTAACTACAGGGACAATGATAATCGCCTTAGTAGCACTTCTCTCTATAACATTTTGATGAGAGCGTGAATGGTATAACCGGTTTAATGAAAAGTTGTTTTAAAGGTAATAATTAAGTGATAGCAGGACGTTAATCTGTTTAAAGAGCATGATTTTGATTATATATTTCATTGCAATGAAATTAGAATAGTCTTGTTGATTTTACACATATCTTGAGACCATAATTTAAACTAGACTCTGTACCATTTTAAGAATGTTAAACAATGAAGTATATTAAAGTTCATAGAATCTGTGTATTAGTTTTCTGAGTTTATTTGTTGTATTTCTCTGCTGAAATTTTCATCCATAAAAGTAAACATTCGGTAAAAGGCCTTCAATGCATAACCAGAACCTCGAATTTCCAATCCAAGCCAATATTCCATATATGAGCCTTGCCAGTGTGTGGCGATATAAAAGGCTTGCGGAGAAATCATCGGTGTGCATTTCTAGCCGCTCCACTGACTGTAGCTGTTTATTCCAGGCACACCTTCCTAGTCGAGTTACTGAAAATGTAATTCGCCCAGGGCGCTTTCCGCATCCGAATGGGGCGAAGCCGCGAATGAGAAACACTTTTCTGAATGCCAATCTAGTCGCCATTGAAAAATGCGGCCGTGCGGAAAGCGGGAGCTTTATCCAACGCTACCGGTCGCGATTGCAGGGTTGTCGTTCTTCCTGGATAATTCAAAAGGTACATATGAGTTTTTTCTCTCAAAAAGTCCCCCAATCCATAACTAAATGAAAAATATTCACAGAAATATTGGGTAATGATAATAATAAAAGGCTTTTATTTCCCTGGCGGGTATTATGCTTTCAGCACCAACTAGGGCAGGAAAAATACATGGAATACAAAAAGGTACAGTTTTCTCAGCAAAGTAAAATGCATAAACAAGTATTTTTAGTGCAAATCAGGTACAAACAATTCTAATATGCAGGGTGACTTTGAAGTTGAGTCATTAATTTTCAGATAATGATTGTAGAAGGAAGATAAACCAAAATATGTGTGTAAAAATAAAAAAAAAAATAAAAAAAAAATGTTACCTTGTTTAATAAAGTATCCTCCCGACAAGTATTTCAGTGCGGACCTGTATTTGATCGTGCGGTCTTGGAGCAGCATGCCCTCACCTGTGAGGTCTTAAGTCACCTGATTCACGAGCCCTTTGCACTACATTAACAAAGGCACGAGGGGTTGGTTGCACTCGATTGGGAAACCGATTCGCATAAATCCGTGATGCATCCGGGAGCATTTTGTAAAGACTGCCCCCCCGTAAATAAGAATCATGTCCACAAGTTCAGCATTTTCGTAAACATGTGCCATTTTTGATTTCGTTTGAGCCACGCAACACACTACTATTCACTCAGGATTTATCGACTGACGAAAAACATCGTGATAAACGTTTCAAATTCTTTCGCTTTTTTGTTTCCGATGCGATGAACCGGTCAGGCGGATTATATCCGTTGTCGCCAAACACGAGCATATAATAGGCAGGGCGGTACTCAAACTTCCAAAGGGCTATAACTTTGTTACTTTAATTTTACCAGAAAAATGGTAAAGGAAAAAAACATTTCTTTTGATCAGATCTACTCACTGTTAAAATAAATGACTCAACTTCGAAGTCTGTATATCGAAATAAGTCAGGTTAAACGTTGGCATGTATAACTATTGTAAATGAACTCTTTAATTTTAATTTTTAAGGATCGTATCGCCAGAGTTTTTAAAGTAGCTGGAAGGTTATTATATTGTGAAGGTGTCACATAAGGGAATTATTTCTCCAAAAAGTTTTTCCTACATAGTCATGCCATAAGTTCTGTCCCTCGTTTTCAAACAAGTGTAGACCTGTTAATACTTGTCCGATTGTTTACATTGTGGTGTCAGTTGATTAAGCGCTTTTCGGGTAATTACATATACCTCAGTTTGTATTGATCTCTCGAAGCATAACGATGGAGTGGGGCAAGGCAGAGAACCGTATTGCAGTGATAGCTTTACATAAGTGTAATCACAGTGCTAGTCAGATTTTTGAACTCTTACGCGGCCTTCAAATATCGCGTAAATTTGTGTCTAGGACCATTCAGCGGTACAATGAGTCGTCCTCTGTTGATGACAGGCCAAGAAGCGGAAGACCTCGTCAAGTAAGGACTCCAGCAGCCATCAAAGCCGTAAAAGCCAGGATTCAAAGGAATCCACTCCGGAAGCAGAAGATCCTATCCAGGGAAATGAAGATTCCTGTCCGGACGATGTCGCGCATCATTAAACAAGACCTAGGGCTAGGGGCTTACCGGAGACGTACGGGCCAGCGACTTACGGCCACCTTGCGACACATCAGGGCGACAAGATCCAAGAAGCTCTAGGAGAGGTACGCAGCTGGGGGATTCCGAAAGATTTTGTTCACGGATGAGAAAATCTTCACCATAGAAGAAAAATTCAACCTACAAAATGACAAAGTGTATGCAAGGAGTTCACAGGAAGCTTCGGAGATCATTCCGAGAGTTGAGAGAGGCCACCACCCTGCGTCAGTCATGGTTTGGTGGGGGGTGTCCTACGAAGGGGTCACTCAGCTCCATTTCTGTAAACAGGGCGTGAAAACAAAAGCGGCAAACTATCAGAGCGACATACTGGATCCTATCGTCAAGCCTTTAAGTGGTACATTGTTTGCCAACCAACACTGGGTCTACCAGCAGGATTCCGCCCCCGCTCACAAGGCTAAGAGTACGCAGCGCTGGCTGGAAAGCAATGTGCCAGAGTTCATTGCTGCGGAAGATTGGCCCTCAGGGAGTCCGGACCTCAATCCTTTAGACTACAAGTTGTGGGACCTGCTAGAGCAGTTGGCCTGCTCCAAAGCCCACCGTAATATCGAGTCCCTGAAAGCGGATTTGATCCGATCAGCGGCAGCTATTCCTTTGGAAGCTGTGCGTGCAGTGATAGATGAGTGGCCCGCGAGATTGAAGCAGTGTGTGAAGGCCAAGGGGGGACATTTTGAATAAAACTGTTTGATTATGAATTCTAAAAATGTTGTCGAATAAATAATATCTTTCATATAAATATATCTTATCTTGTTTCATTTTTATCATGAGATTATCATGGGACAGAACTTATGGCACGACTACGTATATGACGGCATATTTAGTGGACGTATCCAGCATAGCGTAAGTCTAAGTAGTGGTGTACTAGCTTCTGAGGATTGTATATAAAGAAGAAACTACCCATCTTTGATGCTTTGTAAGCCATTTTATATCCTTAAGGTGCCTGGAAATTCTTTCTCTTCTCGAGGTTCCTGAAATACACAGTGTACGCAGGTGTTTTGGGCTTTTTAAATTCGAAATTCTCACAGATGATGCTACGTTATCTCATTTCATCTAGAATACTTTTTTGAAGGCGCAAGTTAAGCATTAGGTTTGCTCGTTATTCAATCATCACATCTCATTCAAATGATATTGCGTTTTCATATTTGCTTACTGTTCTGCATTTGGACTTCTAATAATAGCCGGATGGGGATTCCGTGTTTGTTTGGCTGTGAAGGCATTTTAGTACGGTACAAAAATTATACAGGTTAAAATTTTCGATCGACAGCAGTTAGTTTCACATTACTAAAAATGAAATGAAGTGCTTCAAAAAATAAGCAAGGCTGCTTTCTCTCCAAAAGGATATATATGTCTTCAAAGTTTGAAAAAATCCCCAAATTCGGGTAAAGTCTCCCAATGTCTCAACGTTGAGTGATGACGTTGGCGCGGTGAGAAATTCGACATAAAAGGAACGTGAATTTTCCTTCTCACGCTAATAGGACGAGGAGTAGCGAAACACTGAGAAATTCCGAGTTCGTCGGTCAGAAATTCGCGTACCATTTGATGAACGGTTACTGTATTTCTGAAGATGTATGTATGAGACCAGAAAACATATTTTGGGTGTCAGCAAATGTTTTTGACGGTATCGCTATGATAAGTGCAAATTGGCGTAATCCTAGGGTTGGAGCTCTTGCCGCCATTCTGGTGAACGCGTTTGGTCGCATATCTCGTAAGCTACAGGTTCTATGTCGAAAAGTAATGAGAACCTTTTCTTAAGGAATCAAATTCTTGATTATTTTACTTTCATAAGAATTTGCAGCATAGTCAGCAGGTTATGGAAAATTTAAGGGCAAAGGTACACGTGGTGATATTTTCGCTTATAATGGCTAAAATAACAACCTAAGCGTATGAAGACCACAACTTTGAGTAGAGAATAAAATTGATGATTCTCATATGACAAGACGCGAACGCTGTAGAACTGAGGTATGATTTTTTCCGAGTTCAAAGTTGTACTGAAGGCGGATCACATGTTACTCTGTCTGTCCTCCAGTGTTGCCAGATCGAACGCCACTTTTGTGTCATCTACATCAAAAAACTATTGCAGGATATTTGGCTCGTCTATGGAATTTTGTCTATGGTATAAACTAGTGATAAAATCCATAGAGTCACATATCCCTGTGATAGATTTCACAAGTAGACTGATATATCATTATCGTGTCATCATTAATTTATCATTACAGTACAAAATAATGAACTATTGATAAAAGTAATAAGTTCATTTATAGAAAGGATTATGTAGACGCAATCCCTCATCTTTTTAATTGTCTTGTATAGAGGCGATTCCACAGAAACCACAATAAACAGTTTACGAGTGTTTTATAAAATCCTCTACATGGAATCAAAATAAGATAAAATTAAACTGATTCTTGATAACAAGAGACTAAATATCGGAATATTGAGGCTTTAGTTATGCCACCTTGCCGATAAAAAAAGGAGCAATGCTATTGTATAATTTATCTCGGGATCCCACTTCAAGCTAAATCAGAAAAGACTATAAACTTTTTAGGGAAAACTCAGTTTATCTCCGAAAATATTCTGAATTGCGAAACTGCGCCATTTTCTTAGATTCCTAAATGCGCAACTTTGCCGCCATTTTATCCCCCTCGTATCTCTTGACGTTTCCTAGATTCTAATGGTGATAGTCCAGTTTAGCACCCGCAGGGTTATTACGTAAAAAACTATAAAACGTCAAAGAAAGAACAACAAAATGTCAACCTGCTGTCTAGATAGTTCCTAGTATGCAAATAGTACATTCCGCGTTTACTCGCTATAAAATCAGTGACATCCTATGTGAGAAAATTATTGACGAACATGCTGCCCATGAAATATATCTGTTAGCTGTGCCAGTCAGATTATTTGTGTTGTCCTTTCTAAAAGGAGGTTATGTTCAAAGTTATACATTACGATTTTCCCCGTCTTTTTTACGTTTTCAAAAACTTTGACACGCATTACGAGAAATCGGCATCGCTCCCGCGATGTGTGTAATCAAGTCATATCACAGAAAAATTAGGAATAACGCATCACATACGGAACATTTTCACAGTGCCTCTCTCTAGGAGCTGGTTTGTATTTTCTACGACATCTTAAAATAAATTTCTGTAAAATTTAAATGATTGAAAATAAAAATTAGTAGGAAATATAATAACTTCTTTACGTTTCATAAATATTCCTAGATATATCATGTTTTTCCACCAACCAGGGATTTTCTTATCTTATCGCTCTAATTTTTAGCTTTGCATACATCTCAAGTAAGTGCATTTGACACAAGAAATATGGAATTATCAGAAAAACAGACTGCTGGCACACAAATCCTGATTGTATACGCATGCACTGCCGTTTCCTTAAACGTCC